TAACTGTCCGTTGTAACCCCAGTTGTACCTGTCCGTTGCATCACAGTTGTACCTGCCCGTTGCACCACAGTTGTACCTGTCCGCTGTACCCCAGTTGTACCAGTCCGCTATTCCTGTCCGTTGCACCTGTCTAGTGTACCTGTCTACTGTACCACACGTGTATCCATTTGTTGTACCGGCACTATAATTGTTATCAACTGTAGACATAAGCGCTATATGCAGTGGAGGAGGAAAGATGGTACGCAGGGGCGGCATACCCGGGGGCCGCACTTCTTTCTCTATATTGGTGGGGTTTGCTGGTTTCGGCCAACTACTGAGCTTTCTTCGAGGAAAGGGGAGGGGGGGGGGGGGAAATCTTGCCATGCCCCTGGCCCCTCTAACCCCCGCTACGCCACTGGGTAAAACATGCCTTTTAATCCAGGGTAATCAAATATGTTCACTGGCCTGCTGTACCACTGCTGTACTCCATGTACAATTGTTTGACTGTTCTTATTTAATATCGACTTCACAAATCTGCCTCAAAGTTTTTTTTGTGTGTATGTCTCTTACAACGTCGGTCGATGTGATAGTTTTAAAGAAACAATTAATGAAATTAATCTCCGAAACATAGCGTCCACGCATGAATGCAAACGATACCAATATGTTGGTACTTCCAAAGATTATGGGTGGGGGGGGGTTAGCTCAAATCAGTTTGAGAAACGCTGAGCTGAAAATTATGATCTCCCAAATCTACAACAAAATGTATTTGATTTCTGGGCTGGTGTGTGTGTTTAAAAAACTTACACTAAACAAAGCCCCCCCCCCCCGGGCGCCCCGCCTTCTCCCGAGTACTATGTGCATGAACTTCAAGGGATGTAACAAAATAAAACATCGATAGAGTAGCGGCCCTTGCATGTCCCTGGATAAAAATAGAAAGTTTATAATGTGTGAAGTCTTAAATGAGAAATCTCTGGCTAAATCTTTTTGAAGCTGTTAAAATGTAAGTTGTTGGTGTTCGTACCTGTTCGTTGTGGTTAGCATGCGAAGATGACCAATGCAATGTTTTCGACTTGAGTAGCAAGCAGCCTTGATGACTTAGCTCACTTGGTCTGTATTTTGCTTTAAGTGAAAGAGAGCTGCTCTATTTCTTCTTCTATATCTTAAGGGCCCACGATCAATTTATTGATCATTTTGGCCCCTATGCATGTAGATGGGATTTGCAATGTTTCTGTTACTGGTATTGATGAGGAAATCATGCACTAGGGGTTTGAAGGCTTGATGCAATAGACACAAATGTGTCTAGTGTTGTCGCCTCAACCGTTCCTTTTGAAAGATTGTTCCAGTCCCTGATTGTCTTGGGCAGGAATGAGCAGCTCCTATACTGGCTTCTTGCTGGTATGAGCCTGAATTGCCTGTCATGGCCTCGTATTGAAAGATTGTTCCAGTCCCTGATTGTCTTGGGCAGGAATGAGCAGCTCCTATACTGGCTTCTTGCTGGTATGAGCCTGAATTGCCTGTCATGGCCTCGTCGCTGTCTATGGGGGAGAGGGACGAGTTTCTGTTTAATACTGGAACAGTGGACCAGCCCATTATTTATCTTGTACATCACGGAGAGCCTGGATTGTCGTCGTCGTTTCTCCAATGGTGACCAGACCATTTGTCAGCATCACTTCTCTCGTTCCTCACCTATTTAATCCAACGGTAAGACTTAGGATCAAGACGACTGGAATTAGACCAGGATTAAGTGGATGACCATCAGTTGGTTGTGTGTGTTTCACTGTGCGCTTTATAGGTTCTACGTCGCAGTAGTAGTCGGAATTTTCATTGTGTCCATGTCATACTGCCTACGGGACTCCATACCCGGGTTTCGATTTTAAAGTTTGCCGTCTCTTAGATGAGTTGCCGTCTAAGGTTAACGATTCCAATACAAACGGAGTTTCTGATGATATTTTTGCTTGTCTATATAGGCGTTTTCTGGTGATTGAACTCTAGTCTAGATTGAACTCCAGTCTAGATTGAACTCCAGTCTAGATTGAACTCCAGTCCACTAGCATGGGATTGAACTCCAGTCTAGATTGAACTCCAGTCTAGATTGAACTCCAATCCACCGGCTTGGGATTGAACTCCAGTCTAGATTGAACTCCAGTCTAGATTGAACTCCAGTCCACTAGCTTGGGATTGAACTCCAGTCCATCGGCTTGGGATTGAACTTCAGTCTAGATTGAACTCTAGTCCACTAGCTTGGGATTGAACTCCAGTCCACTAGCATGGGATTGGGATTGAACTCCAGTCTAGATTGAACTCCAGTCTAGATTGAACTCCAATCCACCGGCTTGGGATTGAACTCCAGTCTAGATTGAACTCCAGTCTAGATTGAAGTCTAGTCCACTAGCATGGGATTGAACTCCAGTCTAGATTGAACTCCAGTCTAGATTGAACTCCAGTCCACTAGCTTGGGATTGAACTTCAGTCCACCGGCTTGGGATTGAACTCCAGTCTAGATTGAACTCCAGTCCACTAGCTTGGGATTGAACTCCAGTCCACTAGCATGGGATTGAACTCCAGTCTAGATTGAACTCAAGTCTAGATTGAACTCCAGTCTAGATTGAACTCCAGTCTAGATTGAACTCCATTCTAGTTTGAACTCCAGTCCACTAGCATGGGATTGAACTCCAGTCTAGATTGAACGCCACTCTAGATTGAACTCCAGTCTAGATTGAACTCCAGTCCACTAGCTTGGGATTGAACTCCAGTCCACTAGCTTGGGATTGAACTCCAGTCCACCGGCTTGGGATTGAACTCCAGTCTAGATTGAACTCCAGTCTAGATTGAACTCCAGTCCACTAGCTTGGGATTGAACTCCAGTCCACTAGCATGGGATTGAACTCCAGTCTAGATTGAACTCAAGTCTAGATTGAACTCAAGTCTAGATTGAACTCCAGTCTAGATTGAACTACAGTCCACTAGCATGGGATTGAACTCCAGTCCACCAGCATGAGATTGAACTCCAGTCATATAGGTTTGGGTTGAACTCCAGTCCACCTGCTTGGGATTGAACTCCAGTCTAGATTGAACTCCAGTCTAGATTGAACTCCTGTCTACCTGGTTGGAATTGACACTGTTTAGACAAAATGGATAAATCATCCCCGCCGTATGCTAGTAGTTGAGGCATCCGTGCACTGAAATGGTTTTTGAAAACAAAAGGCTACGTTGGAACTACGTTCTTTCTTTCTATTTTATATAGAATTTTACATAATGAAAAAAAAAATCTCAGTTGAAAAGTATTTTGAACATATAGCTTTTCATATTTATTGTAATATTCCATATACTGTTGTTTATAGTGTTGTGTATTACAACTTTTTAATATCGTGTTGTATATAACTTTTATCAAGCGTTGTCTAGTATAAGTTTTAGAGTGTTTTTTTTTTTATAGCATTGTATATTAAACATTAAATACAGTGCTGCAGATTGCATTATTTGAGAAAAGGGGACCGTTGATTGGCAGTTGAGATCTCTACCGATTGCCCCAGTGGTTCTCACATGTATAAAAGTTTGAACATCGGCAAACTTGTAAATTAACATTTTCCAGTATTTTTTTTAGACGAAACTTTTAAAAAAGTCTGATGACGTATTTCTTGATTCGTTGTAAATATAGCGGAACAATTTCTCTTTTAACACGAGAAAGTTGACTAGGGGGCTTAGGTCAGGGTGTGGAATAAAGAAACATCAACTTGTATACATTTTTAAAAAAAACTTAATGGATATGTCAACTAGATGGATATGCCAACTTAATGGATATGTCAACTTGTTGGATATATCAACTTAATGGATATGTCAAGTTAATGGATATGTCAATGTAATGGGTGTGTCAATTTGATGGATATGTCAACCTAATGGCTATGTCAATTTAATTGATGTCAACTTGATGGATAAGTAAATTTAATGATTGTCAACTCTTGATATGTCAACTTGATGGATATGTCAACTTGATGGATATGTCAACTTGATGGATATGTCAACTTGATGGATATGTCAACTTGATGGTTATGTCAACTTGATGGTTATGTCAACTTGATGGATGTGTCAACTTGATGGATGTGTCAACTTGATGGATGTGTCAACTTGATGGATATGTCAACTTAATGGATGTGTCAACTTAATGGATGTGTCAACTTAATGGATGTGTCAACTTAATGGATGTGTCAACTTGATGGATGTGTCAACTTGATGGATATGTCAACTTGATGGATATGTCAACTTAATGGATGTGTCAACTTGATGGATGTGTCAACTTAATGGATGTGTCAACTTAATGGATGTGTCAACTTGATGGATATGTCGAATTTATTGATATGTAAACTTGATGGATATGTCACCTTGATTGATATATCGCCTTGATAGATATGTCAACGTGATGGATATGTCAACTTGATGGATATGTCAAAGACAGTTATATATATATTTAATTTCTTTCTAAATTTTAAAAAATGGTAGTACATGAAACAATAATTGTTAAAGTAAAAACAAACAATATTTTTTAATAATTTTAAATAATTTAAATTTTCTGCACATTTTTCAAACACCCCCCCCTCCCCCTCTAAACCACCCCCCCCCTTTTTTTCAATTAACACCTGGCTATGTTATGTCCATCCTACAGTCTTTTCCTTCCGTATCTGTCCCTTAAGGCACATACATTTTGTTACTAAATCGTTGCTGTAGATTGTTGAGTCCACTTCACATTATGGAATAATACATTTTCTCCCTTCCATATCAAAGCAATACTGAAATGAAGATAATGCAATTGATGTTGAATAATATGTTTATTTGACTTCTTCATAAATTAGAAAAATAAATAATTTCAGGATTTGAAAACATCATTGTTTTAGAGTTGTCTGCATTCGTTTATGGTAGACCACACCACCACACCAAATCGCTTGTCAAAAAAAAAAAGGAAATCACGCGCCACATCAAATCACGTGTGAAATCAAACGACGTGCCACATCACATCACGTGATCTCTGTTTACAGTTGTTCTTGAATCCAGTCGTAGTAAGCATTGATTTTAACGTAGACCCCCGGGTACTCGGGCCTGGCGCAGCCCTCACCGTAGGAGATAACTCCAACCGCCACCCAGGTATTCGTAGCGCCCTCTAGGCAAAAGAGTGGTCCGCCCGCGTCGCCCTGGGGAAATTGACAAGGATGATCGTACCGCAATAAAAAAAATATAATAATAATAATAACAATAGTAATAGTAACAATAATTATAATGATAATAACTAGGGCTTAAACTGTTGCAGTTTTTTTTTATACCATGCAAAAATATAAATAAAAGATAATCTAATCTTAAGCTATTAAAGCACGTGTATCAAAACTACATTCATAACTAAGATACATTTCGATTTAAATCACAGGCAATCCCCTTCTTCTCCTCATCAAAGACCAATCAATGGTGTCCATTCATACAACGATTATTAGCACCTAAGCTTAGACTCATTACAAAATAAATAACAACAACAACAACAAAAACTCAAACAAAACAACAACTAAACGTAGACTAACTGCTAAAAATGGCCATTGAAATGACAAGCGTCAACACTTTCCCCCATACCGAACTATGATCCAAATGATCTCCCTCTAATTGTTGAATGTCAGCGATGGCCAGCTGTCTAACCACGTTGAGCCGTGGGCCAGCTGTCTAACCACGTTGAGCCGTGGGCCAGCTGTCTAACCACGTTGAGCCGTGGGCCAGCTGTCTAACCACGTTGAGCCGTGGGCCAGCTGTCTAACCACGTTGAGCTGTGGGCCAGCTGTCTAACCACGTTGAGCTGTGGGCCAGCTGTCTAACCACGTTGAGCCGTGGGCCAGCTGTCTAACCACGTTGAGCTGTGGGCCAGCTGTCTAACCACGTTGAGCCGTGGGCCAGCTGTCTAACCACGTTGAGCTGTGGGCCAATTGTTCGCCCTGCTAGATCTACTTCTTCTTCGTCTTTTTTTTTTTGAATTGCATTGTTACGGAGAGAGAGGCGGGGCCATCATTCGGGTAGGGCAGGGTTGGACATTTGCGCCACCCCCCTCTCCCTGGTTGGACATTTGCGCCACCCCCCCTCTCCCTGGTTGGACATTTGCGCCACCCCCCTCCCTGAATTTGCAGGATTTATTTAAATTGCTATGCACTGTGGCGCCTCCAGTAAGAAACTATATAACAAGCCGACCAAGTTGTGATTTTGCGCCCCCCCCCCTTGAAAAAAAACCTCCGAAATGCCGCCCCTGGAGAGAGGCTTTCAACCGAGTCATCCCCCCTTTCATTTCTCCCGTTTTGTTATTAACGCATCCACTTATTTCATTCTAAAATCTAAACAAATCACCCCCCCCCACCCATGCCTTTGACCGCAGCCTCCATTACATCAATCCTTCGAAACGATCAGGTCGACTCACCCCACAGGCGTCCACGCCACCGGACGTGCTCCCCGCGCACAGTTGGTTGGTCGGGTCGGTCAGGTAGGTGGAGCCACTCTGCGGGAAGGTCGTCAGGCAGTCCGCTCCCTCGTAGGTAGGGACGCTGACCGTCTGAAGGATCTGGGCAGGCGCGAAGGAATTCTCTGAGGAGAGATGAGCACGGAGTTAACGGCGAATAGTTAACTTTTCAACTTCAAATATTATGACATAAATCAACATGGTAAATTCTTATATGTGAAATGGTAAACAAAAAAAAAGGATCTTGAATAGAAGAACAGTGGACGAAAATTGGCCGCAACGACATGGACATGGTCTTAAATGAAATCAGTTACCTTCTTAACTTCAAATGACCTTAAATTTAAATACCCCTCCCCCCAATACCCCATGTCCTGACACAATATCGCCCCCCCCCCAACCCACTAGACTCACCGTCCGTCATCCCCCATCCAGCGATCTGACACGACTGGCCGTTCTGTATGTTGTAGTTTGGGTTGAGACACACGGCCCCGGCGCACTCTCTCTGGAGGTCAATGGGCGTGTCAAGGGTGAGAATGGCGATGTCATTGGCTGAAACGCGGGAAATGTGTTAAAATAATTAATCCGCCTGCGAGCTTGGAGCAACAGGGAGTAACTTTTTCTGTTTTTGTTCAGAATAAGGCACGAGTTAGTAAAATATAAATTTTTTAATGTCTTGGTCCCTCGAAAGCGTCTAATGATGTCACGACATTGGCCTTGATGTCATGACATTGGCTTTAATGTCACGACATTGGCCTTGATTTCACGACATTGTCCTATAGTGAAAACAGGACGCATCCACGAAACTTGACTTTAAAAAAATAAAAAAAAAGAAATGGCTACTTATATTTAAATATGTTTTTTTTTTATTTTTTTTGGGTGGTCTTTTTTCCATNTGGACATGGTCTTAAATGAAATCAGTTACCTTCTTAACTTCAAATGACCTTAAATTTAAATACCCCTCCCCCCAATACCCCATGTCCTGACACAATATCGCCCCCCCCCCAACCCACTAGACTCACCGTCCGTCATCCCCCATCCAGCGATCTGACACGACTGGCCGTTCTGTATGTTGTAGTTTGGGTTGAGACACACGGCCCCGGCGCACTCTCTCTGGAGGTCAATGGGCGTGTCAAGGGTGAGAATGGCGATGTCATTGGCTGAAACGCGGGAAATGTGTTAAAATAATTAATCCGCCTGCGAGCTTGGAGCAACAGGGAGTAACTTTTTCTGTTTTTGTTCAGAATAAGGCACGAGTTAGTAAAATATAAATTTTTTAATGTCTTGGTCCCTCGAAAGCGTCTAATGATGTCACGACATTGGCCTTGATGTCATGACATTTGCTTTAATGTCACGACATTGGCCTTGATTTCACGACATTGTACTATAGTGAAAAAAGGACGCATCCACGAAACTTGAATTTAAAAAAAAAAAAAAAAAGAAATGGCTACTGATATTTAAATATGTATTTCTTTAATATTTTGTGTGTGGTCTTTTTTCCATTTCAACCCTAACACTATCATTCCCCTTGTTGTCCTCTCGGATGTAACATTCCAGCGAAGTGTTCATTTTTTAAATTATATTTTTTTTTTCCTGTTGTTCTTTCGCTGAAGAAGGCTTCTTGCCGATACGTTCGTTGTTTTGTTGCGTCCCTCCCCCCACCCACCCCCCACCCCATTCTCCAGGTTTCCCCATACTTTGTTTCTCTCTTTTCCTACATCTCTGATAAAGCCACCCATCAGGTAAGAGTCTCTGACAATTTTTGGATTTCTAAATATTTTCAAGGCTAAAAAAACCTGTCACGACGAAGCTTCGTTGACCATCGTGCCATTGTTTTAGTTTGATTTTGTCCCCACACACGTGAACTCGCTAGATATCTTACTTAGTGACAACATTTTTTTCCCCCCCAGTTTACCATTCGCCATGGTGTGAGATATCTTACCCGCAACGGTACATTTATTTTTCAGTGCATCATTCGCCATTGTACATTTCTGTGTGAGATATCTTACCAGCAACGGTACATTTATTTTTCAGTGCATCATTCGCCATTGTACATTTCTGTGTGAGATATCTTACC